TTCACCGGAACAATACAGTAATACGTTATTGTACATGTACTGCGAAAATCATATTATTACACACATACTCGAATACAATGCGTTCGATGATATCGTGTTAAGAAATGTACATATCTATAAACACGAAATAGGAGGAAAACAAAAAAGAGAAATCGTTATAGACACTTGGGATGTGCACGCGTGAACAATTAAAACGGTATTGCTGCAGACCCAAACACATTGCTTCTATCCGATGAGATTAGTATCGTGCGAATTAGGAAACTAGTCGACGACGTGTGTGTTCTTCCGATTTCATGGGTATAGCTTTAATACGGAGGCGGTTGTTATTTTTTATTATTTTATTTTGTTTTTCGATCTACCAAATAATCATTTGGGCCACAGGCAAATACAGTTGCCACGATAGAAACCAATTATTTCCATATAAGCGCACCACAGTTATTTCCGCAATTTTAATCATTTCTTTTTCTCCACCCCTTTGAACTGACACGGTCACGTTCTTCACTACAGTCATCCAATTTTACAACTACACCGGTCGAAATATTTTATGTAAAAAAAATTCAACACTATGACACCTACAAATACATATATATATATTTAGATTAACGAAGAAAATGTAAAATTAATAAAGTAAATGTTTCAAATTACGATTTTAGCTATTCGTAGTTTTGTTTTCCTGAATATTATTGGGGTTATTTTGAACAATGATTGTTTTATTTCAGCGCTATTCTTTCAAATGTGATAAAAAAATCATCTTAACAAGGAACATTCTAATTTAAAATAAAATACACTATGTTTTGGTAAAACATTACTTTTTACGAGTCACCTCCCTGAGTTACATTTATAACAATTTAGTATTTACAAATAGGTACTACAGTCTAATCACATTTTGAAAACGCGTCTTGTATCTCGATTAGTTGTAATTATAAATAAACGATCCATCGCTTGAATAGCATTAGCTTAACAAAAAGGCCTTAGTTTGCACGGGCTAAAAGATAATTTTGTTTGTTAATTCTCCTCCGTTATTTCACAATATATTTTTTATGCATTTTAAGTTATTCAGTAGCATGTACCGAATGCTTACTCCAATTTACTTAAAAAAAACTTCCGCCCTTTATAACCGTTACCTGAAATTGAGGTATACATTCAATTTGTTATTAAATTATAGTTTGGAAGTGTCGGTTTAACTGGATTTAAATGAAAATTTGTTTTCGTGTGAAATAAATATGTATTGTTATAATTTACTCGCCTAATGTTTATTGTTAAAGTTTCTGGGGTTTCTAACACACTCCAGTCGTCTACTTAAAACGATGCACTGAAATTACAATGTCCATTTAAAAAATATTTCAAATATGATGTAATTTATGTGGTTAGATGACAACAGCACACTATGATTGCTGACGTATTCATAGTCTTGACAGCCATTGTCGTTTGTTGCAAAACGTATTTATTTCAAACACATCACAGCTTTATATTTTTGCTGCGTTTCACACCGTTATATGGACGTTCTTCTAAAGTTTCATTTAACGACCCATTTTAACGTTGAAACGCGCAGAATATTAAACTTCAGATCTATTCCGTGTAAATTTAACTGTATATTCTATTAAGTCTAGAAACTGTGTCGTGTATCTGGAGACTCACGATATATTAGTTTTTGTTTGAGCCTTCAATACCACGGTGATAAAGCAGGCGTCTAATTAAAAAAAAAAAAGGAAAAAAATTAATAAACACCACATCCTTAATGCATCTCTATATACATCGTCTCTCGTTGAACTTCCTATTTCCCTCGCCTACACTTTTCTGCGTTTTTTCCCCTTTCCGTTTTTCGTGCACTTGTGTTCCGACCCACCCCTCCACGGCGGACAATACCTCTGGGATGAGGCACACCCGTAAAAGACAAAATTACACTCTTAATATTTATGACAAGCTGAATCCCTTATCGACCCTAAAAACACACCAACCCTTTCTCTCTTTACACTATAAAAACCCGATCGCATTGCAACAAGACGAGATGGTGGCGGTTGCTATATAAGCGGAGAACGAGCCACGGCCGCCGCTACCACCACTGTTTACGACTTCCGATGCTCTAAATAAGCTCTCCGCCACTTTTAAGCTTTTATCTTTGCTGTGGCAATATTATACTCTCCGGGGTTATTGTAAAAACCAGCGGCGACTTACACTCCCCTGTACCGCTGCACCGTATAGCTTATTTGCAACCCCTTCCATCAGCGTACATTGTATATTAAATACATCCCTAACACTTTCTTGGTTCGTTTTATACACGAAGAGGAAACATCTGCTTCAGGCCATGCGATGCGGCTCACTATAAAAATCGAAACTTGCGCTAGCAAATGGCGTAACAAATCAACTGCGTGTCATCACGGTGTGTGCTTGAGTAAATTATATGAGGAGTGGCAATCGCTTAAAAGTGGACTGAAACGTAAAAAGTAATAATATCTCACCGGTTTAATAGGAACTTTTTTAAATCATTGACTTTTTAGTGCCATTAAAACTACGGTTTGTCAGAGAGACGTTTAAAAGTTCTAAGTATAAATGCTCTCGGTAGTTTTATGAATTATACTACACCGTATCCATTAATAAATAACAAATCACGAGTATTTAATTAATTCAACGAACTCAGTGGTATGAGTTCGGATTTAATATCAATTAGATTGTGAAAACTTTACGAACACGAGGCGTATTTATATGGTTAAAGACATTTTCCTTACTCTAAAATTGTTTATCAATTCACTATCCAAGAAGCGTACATCTTTTACCACATATATTTTTTTATAATATTTCCATAACATTTAAAAGTCAGTTTTTTAAATATTAAACGTGAATGAAAAGGAGTAGGTATCTCTTGTCAAAGGTCGTCAAGTGGGTTATTAAAATTCAACGGTTTGAAAAAGATCTTTGAACTCAAGTGGCTTCGTTTAATTTGTCTCGAGTCTCTTCTTGCAATGTTGGCCATCTATCACCAATGCACCGGTTTCTAGGGTCATTAAAAAAAACATAATAGAAAAAACCAAAAGGGGGAACGCCGCATACGAGTGTGTTCAACTTGGTATTAGAGGAGAAAAAAGGTAACATACCATTGGTAACAAAAGTAAAAAGGAAATGATCATTGGAATTTTATTTTTTGTATAGTGTAAAAACTCATGCAAGGAAACGGCGTTGTTTCAGAGGAAAATATAATGTGCACTCGTTCGCAAATCACATGTTAAAACAAATACCGCACTGTTAACGACCTGCAGCAATAAAAAAAAACAACCACAGAAAGTTCGAGGGTGGACATTTATTTAATTTCAGTATAGTATTTTTTCGTCCCTTACTCATTTCTCTTATATACATACATTTAGAATTGATGTTGCGGTTTTTAACGATCGCCGCACTAAATCTTCTGTGTCAAAAAATATCCGTGGACGTTGTTTTTCACCCTCGACGAGTAACAAAGATTCACCACCGATACCGTCGGAATTTAAATAATTAAAAAACTGGCGTAACCTCAAAAACAAAAAAAAAAAAAAAACAAAAACCATTATCTTCTGAACCCTTTTTTCCGGAATACCCTTTATCTTACGTGTATATATACGCAAATTCAGTTCGCCCAGTTTGATTTATTTTTATCACCCGACTATCGTTACTACTTTTTTTGTTTTACCTTACTCCTCTTTTCTTTTTTTAGTGCCGCTTTCATTATATTGGCAAGTATATGCCGGAGCAGCTATGGTGTCATAGTATTGTATCACTATAAATGTGACTTCTCCGCTTAAAACAAACTACACATTCTGCAACGCAAAAGCTAAGCCCTTTTCCCATTAACTCTTCGATCTTTTCGCATTGAAATAAAGAAGGGGTGTGGTGTAGATGTTTATAATTATTTTTAATCAGACCCTTTTGTTCGGCGAACTCATAAATACTAATGACGAACAGCCACAGTGTATACAAAGTACATTAGTCTTCACACACGTCTACGCCTTCTGTGATAACCGGTGTAAAATATATTTTACATTTCATATAGATTTTCTTTTCTACTTCTATTTTAGAAGAAAAGTAAAATAGAATTCTCTCGATTTTTAATTAATCTACTTGTCTTACTTTAGTAAACTGTTTTCAAATCTGTACCAGTGCGACGCTTCTGTTTTTTCCGGAATTCCGTTTTGAACTTAAACTTTTTATTGTTTTAAAGTAAGAAAAAAAACAATTGTACGGGCCAGGTGTTGAAAGAATTTACAGTTTACAATTTTCATTTAATAAAAGAGAAATGATTTGGTAAAATTTTTTAGCTGTTAATTAGCTTACAAAGTTACAATTCGCCGTTAAGTGTTTTAAATTACAATATTCAAAATTTTAATATAACAATGGTAATTGTAAAATTTAATTCAAATAAAGTCTGTTCTTAGCTTTATTAGTTTAAATTCAAACTAATTTAACGGTGTTTTAATTTGTATACTCGCAATTTTTTAGTTAAATACTTATTACAATACAATAAAATTTATACATATTTCTAAAACCATAATTGTGTTTCTTTAATACGAGAAAATTATGATTCACTGAGATTTCGTCTGTATAGTAACCTCCAAATAACTGTTTTATTCAAATTATGCAGTAAGGCAAAAAAATTTATTTTAAATTGGTAACGTTATATTTCAGATATAATTAAAAAGTTATTTTGGGGTACAACCGTCATTGTTAATTATTCAAGTAATTAAGAAATTGGCTGCTAATCATCGAAGTAAAACGTCAGTCTCGAATAACTTTACTGCCCTGAAGTGCGTTATTTTTTGACTTACTATATTTGTTTGCCATTAATTTTGTTCAAAGGATTTAAAGTGTATAAATAATTAATCAATTAAAATGTTTATCAGCCCGCTAGTTATAAATGTAAATATTTTTATCGCGAAAATAATAAGAACAATTTTTCAAAATAATTATTTCAATGTACATCACAATACTATGTATATTCGGCTAAAAATAAACGCTTCGTATTGCGTTCGCAGTGAGCTAAAAATTAAATATTTAACATTAAAATTTCATTTATATTCAGCAAACCGTGTCTGTGGCACAAAACAAAGTTTCATTGCTGCAGAGAGTGCTGTCAAACTCATTAGGCGTTTGGCCTGCGATCAAACACTTGCCGTTACTATCTGTCAGCAGCCGATTCCATTTTATTAACTGAAACATTACCAATTTGTTTTTGCGAACAAACCCAAAACTTTTTTAATACTGACACGGTATTCCGTGCAAATATTTATTGGTACCTGGCTACACATCATTGTATCATATTGGATTTTCGCCGAAATTCATAAACACCGGTACAATTGCCTTCGCTGGCAGTGAGATATTGAAAAAACAACCAACCCTTTGACAACTCTTGCATTATTTACATTACTGACGATATTTCATGTACATATCATTTTGAAACATTATGAAATCTCGTGCAATGAACTCTACACGTGCCGCATTATATTAAATAAGTTGGCTTGAAAATATTATCTATAGACATTTTAAAGATATGTACCACATTTTACATATAAATGGAAATGATTAATCGTTAGCTTTACTTTTCAAAATCTCCAGGCAGTGACAATCGCGCGCTGCTTGTGTACTTCAACCACTACATTGTTTATTGTTAATAGCTATCCGCGTACGTATATCTTCTAGTGTTGTTTTACTTTTATGCGACCAATGTCTTTTTTTTCTTGGAATAATTTGAAATACTTAAGTACTAAAAAGTAAATATACGTGAAATTAAACAAAGGTTTTTTTTTCAGTGACTCATTTTTGTTGAAGGTCTTCTTACGATCGCTTTTTACTATAATGGCTCACTCTAAACTTAAACATTGTCAAAAAACAATTGTTTTAATACTATAATGAATTTCGTCAAATAATTAGTATATGTCACTCGACATTCATTTGCAGTCTGGTACACAAACAGCTAATGCTGGTTGTTAAACACAACTTACTACTCTTCTCATTTTTATTATCTATGTTATGTGTATAGAATTATATACTGTAGACCTATTGGATGGTTCAATAATATATACATATGGAAATAGTAATATATCTAAGCTGTTACTGTTTTATTGATGTGTCGTTTTACAAGCATTCCATAAAATCTTTCAAAATACATAGAAAAAGAATTACTAATCTAGTTTCGTGTCATATAATCTACTTAAAAAAAATTTAAAGACGCTAAGCTAAAAATAGGCCAAATGTATCATATTTATTCAAAATTTTTCATTAGTAATATTTACCTTTTTTTAACTTAGTATATTTGATGTCTAAATATCGCAATTTGCTATGCTTAGTGACTTAAAATTTCCAATTGTAAAAGAAAATTGAAAATTGTGTGAGTTTTAAGTGTAATGTACTTTAAATATATTTGGAGAATATGGTAGGGATATAACATAATAACAATAAAATATAAGTTAAAATTGAAGATATATACTTACAATTATATATTTTAAATAAGTGTTATACTATTGAAAATAATATATTATAATATAGTTTAATATGAAATATTATAAGGGCCATTTAGACGAATTGTAAAAGAAGCATAGAAAATTGCGGTAGTGAGACGAAAAATTTAACAAATTAAAAAATAAGTAAATCTAAACAAAAGACAAAATTTAAACATATGTGATATCACATGATTTTTTAGTCAGGCTTTTATCTCATTAACTTTTTTTTTTCGCTTGGTGTATTTTTACTCGTTTTAAAATATTTTTGGAACATATTAAATTATATTGCAATAAATTACAAAAATATATATTTTTATTTGTTCTACGAACATACAAAAAATACGTTTTTTTAGAAATAAAATCGCAAATTTTAAAAGAGTTTTGAATTTATAACTTTACAATATTTACAATATCTTTTACATTTAATTATAAATGTAAAATATTTTTATAAATATAATAATTAAAGAATTATGTATTAAATTAATTTGTTTGAAAAATATTTTATTGTTAAAATTTCACCAGATATATTCCTTCTTTCTAAATTAAAATTTATAAGGCAATTTAGCATTTAGATTGTTTAAAAACAAAAAAAATATAACTGTGAAAAAAATTTTACGATTACATGAGAAAATCTTTGAGTAGCACTAATATCGTAAGTATTGCAAGTATAAAAAAAGTTATTACACATATATTTGTTATTACTCTGATACTGTTCTGGCTTTATATCAGTTACACATCTTTTTTTTGTCGGCCCACGAATCACCACCGTTGTTAATTGATACCAGTACAAATTTTAATGGTTCGTTTACAGGTTGATGGTCTTGAGAGCGTCCGATATCATCGCATGACAAGTACATATGACAACTGAACAATAATAATCATTATTATTTCCATTATGACTATAGAAAGACAAGGTGCGTATTTGCATTAGAGCGTGTAAGACGATTCCGTGTGATGTGAGAGAGAAAAAGACGGAAAAATAATAATAATTATAATATACGCGGTGTAGTAAACACAATCGTATCAAGATGGATAGCGAAAAAGGAACCAATTTTCGCCCAAGTTTTTCCGAGTGAAACGAAATGAAAACTAGTCCTCTTACAAGGACAATTATCCAGATTAATATCTCTGTGCACCAACGAATGTATAATAATGCTCGTCGCGTCATTATTACCCGTTTTCTTGACATTTTTACACGAAATTAAAATAATTGCCTACTTTACTCGACTATACTTTTTTTAATCGCTTGTTTATCGTCATTATACTTCATCCGTCCACGTCCTGTTGTATCGCGCGCAATTTATAATTTTAATTGCAATCCATATACCGTACATTTCTAACCATAGAAACCTTATACACCATAGGGTTTATTATATCAGCTATGCACGTACAAGACCAGATATTCTTGTGTCCCGGATCACGTCATCAGTGAAATGAATTGTGTACGTCCAAAGCTGAAACACTTATCTCTTAGAGACCACTTGATTATAGAAAATAAATTTCAACTAAAACGTATAAATAATTATTTATCTTCTGTATCTGCTTACATGCGAGATGATTAACTGATAAAAAGTTTACACCGTTAAAGTATTTTTTATACAGCTAGTAGAGTAATAATAAGTACACTATTTCGGCATTTATATAAGTATATAAATAATTCTAAACAGACAGCCGCATGCGTCTCGTACTCTAGATAGTAGGTATGATTTATTTTCTAAGAAATCTATTGCTTAACTATAACAATTAAGATTTATTATGATCAGACTCTTGATAGTAAACCGAATTAAAAAAAAAGTCACTATGGATATTGTTCCTTAACTTCCAGGAAATGAGTATTTCAAGCACACGAATTTTGATTTAGCTGTCGCATAATTAACAGAAGGACTCGTTATGAGTGGTCGTTTAGTGTTTTGTTAATTAACCACTCGAGGTGACCACTCCCCGAATTCATAAAATTTTGCATAAAAAAAAAGGTTGCGTGAAAATTAAAACAAATATTGAAACACCTACTAACTCGATAAAATTAATATTAATTTTAAATTAACTGTTTACTATTGTTATTAATACGAAACAAAATTTTAATTCTATTAAAAAATAGTATGCGTGTGAATGTGAAAAAATTTTTTTTTTCCAATTTTCAGAATTCTTGGAAATGAAATTCCAGTTGATTCGTTGCCAACCTAACGTAATAATAATTTGCGGACCAAATCATAAATTCAAATGAACCATTGTCAAAATTTCCAACTACTGAAATGTTCACATCCACAAAAATACGTTCTATATTTTTTACATTGTCTGTGTCCAGCAACCAGTCGATTTCAACGTTTGGTTTCGGCAGAATAGGTTGGGCTAGGTTTTTATAGTCCATTCCGTTTACCCATAAAATAGTTATGCCTTTACTGTTCGATATTTGAGTACAATAATGTTTTATACTACGACTCGTCTAAAAGCCCTGGCCGATACAGCACTACAAAAACAGGTTTATTACCTCGTAAAATAGCATACTCAGTTTTCCAATTTTTGTTCATAACATTGGTTGCTCTATAAAAAAATATTCGCTAACAGTAAAAAAGCAAGTGGTGTGCCATTGCTAATTTTTTTTTCTTGTGAACATTTTCAGCGCATAATAACAGGTTTCATTATGTTTTGAAAAATTATTATTGTATTTTGAGTTAATAGTAACAACAGGTATGAGAAATAGTTGATTTTTTTATTTGCGAAATGAAATGTTCCTCATGTATAAGAAATTATCATTTATTATTATTAACAACATTTTTACACAGTGTAACGTCAGTCCGTTTTAAACATTAAACAACTTTGTTTTTAATCAATAATTCCTTATTTATGATCAGACAAAAGTTGTTAAATTTACGTGGGCATTTAAAAACGGCACGGTGTTATTAAGAAGAAGAAGAAGAACTGTACACACTGAATTTGAGGGGAACAGAATAAATCGGTTCGCGTTTTAATACTATCCATATTTTCAACCCTTTCATCTCTTAAGAAAAAACCACACTTTTCCCGTCGCTCTTAGCGCCTTCGCCGCTTTTGAAAATATTGGCTTTGCATACCCTCCAGTTTACGCTTATCTTTTCCTCTCTATCTGCTGCTCGGCATAGAACACACACACACACACACAGAGTTGTTGAGCACCGCTTCCAGATGGTTTTATTTTCATAAATTATCGGTTTACTCTGAACAAATTTAATTAATGCGCTTAAAAACGGCTTCGAGAAATTCCAAAACTGTTTTAAGGAGTTTTCCCCTTTCTACTCAGCCTTGGGATAATTTTCGATTCCTGTTCAGTGTAACGCTTCTCTCGGCCATTCCGCTACCCCACAAACCGCCTTAAACAAACCCGACAGTAATCATTGTATGTATATACAGTAGATGGACTTCTGTTCCTTCTGCGTCTTTAATTGTTGTACATAAAATATAGTTTTTTTTTTTACTGCTCTTAATAATCACTGTTTGTATTACATTTATTGACATTATCGAGGGCACTTCTTTAACACTTTATGATTAAAAAAAATACGTACCACAGCAACAAGTTAAAACAATATAACCAACTTCTGATGCACATATTTTAAACGAGTTAAAATTTTGCCTTAGTTTCAATAATCGTTAAACTTTGTATAGCCATCTTAAAATTATTAATAAAGGGAATAAACCATCAAATGATTAAAAGCCGTTAAAACTTTTCAAATGTTACTTTAAGTAATTGAAGATTTTTTCGTTTTACACAATTACACATTACATTATGCTACCAATAAAATAAAAGAAACCCCATAATTTTTACTATACATTGTATTTTTACTTTTATCTATAACATTTTTAACGTTTTAACATTTTTTCTAGCGTTGCCGAATTCTTATATGGAGACATAAAAATTACTAAGCGATATACTTCATTTAATACTCATAAAGTGAAGCAACGCTTATAAAAATGTTTAATGTAAATGGAGTGTTGCAATTAACCACTGAGGTCAAGTCACTGCGATCAAGTCTAGACCGCATTTAATGTTTTAGAGAACGCTGTGTTCATATGTGTCCATAGTAAGGTGTACTAGGGCTACTCGATTCCAATTCACGAACAAGGTTTCTGGGTATATCGGTCTTGTCAGAAATTGTGTAAAATCTACACGAAATGTTAATAATAAAAAGAAACAATGACAATATCATTATTTTTCGCTGAAAAACGGGCCGTTCTTCAAAATTGGATTGCGTTTTTTATGCTTTCTTATTCGCAA